TTATATTAAAAAATTTTAATATTAAATGATATTATAATTATAATATTTTTAATTAAAAGAAAAAACAAAGTCAAATAAAATAATAAAAATAAGGACACCCGATCATCAGCTTGACCTGTTCAAAAACCAACACTTGAAACCTGTCTGAGCCGTCGATCAGTGGGCCCCGACAAGATACACGTGCGCCAAACAACCAACTCTGGCTACATTACAGGCAAGAGAGAGTACAGACTACAGAGGGTGCAGAACCATCACATGTGACGTTGATTTATCCCAACGATCAGACGCATCTCTACCGTTCGATCTGAATGACGTGTAATAATACAAAATGGTGGGTCCAAACCTCTTTTTTTCATTTAAATTTTTTTTTTACCATTTTCAAATTTTGGGAGACATTAAAAAAACCGCTTATCGAAAAAAGTTTGAAAGATATTTTAATATTTTTAAACTTTAATATTATAAAATAATAAAATTGACAACTCTATAATACATTTGTTTTGACAAAATTGAAGAGAAAGTGAAGAATGAGATGAATTTTTTAGTTCCGTTAAATTATAATATTTAAATCATTATATTGTTATAATTTAATTAATTAAAAATTTTATTTTTTTCTCTTTTCTTCATTTTTTTTAAATTAAACAGGTTATTAGTATTTTTTTTAATATAATTATCAATAAGTAATATTTTCTTCTTAAAGCTTATAAGCTTTGTGTATAATAATTTTTAATTTTTTATACAATATTTTGTCAACTATTTTTTAATTAAAACTTTTCTAATAAAATTCACTAGCAATTACAATTTCATTAAAAATTTATCTTAAAAAGTTTAATGATTTTTTTTCTTGAAAGGAAACAATGTTTAAAGATAATTTTAGTATTTTTAAGCCTCAATAGTCAATACCATAACAAATAAAAAATAAAACTATAGTTTTTAATTTTGTTTTATTTGATATAATTTCTAATAAAATATATTTTTTTCTCAAAGTTTATCAACTTTATAGATAATAATTTTTAATTTTTTATACACTTTCCTACCTAAGTTTTCATCAAATATTTTTCTAATAAAATTCATCACTCGCCACCAAGCAAACTTAAGTGTATGTAGTTATATAAAAAATGATTAAGAGATAATATATTTGTATAACATATATATTATTTAATAATTAATTTTTTATTTTTTTAAAATTTATAATATTGTATTTATTTATTTTAAAATATAAAAGTAAAATAAAAAAATTGTAATAAAAAAAATTGCTCCACTATTATTACCCTAGTTATACTGTCGCTGTGGGGATACAAGGACCATGGGCCACAGGAGAATGCTATTTTTATTTTTCTGGCTCAGTTCGAGCATGTGGTCGGTCCTACCTGACCCCACCGAAATATATGCCACTGCCACGCACCTGTGCTGTCGTTGTAACGTCCGCGATGGGAACCACCCGAACAAAATTCGAGAAATTCAGATCCAATGTACTTTCATTAATTACTACTTCCACTCCATGAAATAAATTTTTTTGTTTTAAATTGAGTATAATTTTTAAGTTAAATCTTTAATTTGGTTTTTAAATTATTATATAAAATTTTGATTTAGT